AGACAGATAGACAGACAGATAGATAGATAAAGTTAAAGGCAGAGGGGTTACAGTAGCTACCACAATGCCAATAAATCCATATACTTTCTGCATTATGTATTTTAGTATAATATAACAGCCATAGCAAATGACATTGAAAACTGTACTTCTTGCCTCCTCTAGCATTTGCCATAAAGGACTACAAACACATTGCTGGAGAATATGCATAAAACAAAGGCAAACATTTCTGAATAGGACAATTTTTGAGTAGGAGATACGGAAAAATGATAGGTAGTCAAAGTAAACAATAGAATAGCACTGTTATTCAAATTAAGCTAAGTCAATCAGGGACACCTCACAATTTTTCAACAGATCAGAAGAGTTTAAAAGATCATATTAAATCTGAATCTAAACGCATACTGAAATCTTTCCTACGATCTGCAGTGGGAGTATTCTTTCCGCCTAAGTCTGCCTGCTAATCCAGATCATTTATTAAAGATGTGTATTTCATATCTGCAGGGTATATCACATAACTCCTTGGCAAAGGTAACAGTATTTTTTTGGTAACTGTTAAAATTCTTTGTGTAAGTTTCAATAGCTCTTTCAAGCAAACAAAGCAGCATCAGGAATCCCAGATTCATGTGCACTGAGCTTAGGCAGAGAACTCATTTCCAACAACCCTTACTACAGTATACATCCATTTCAAATCATACGCTGCTCTCAATGATGTTTAAGTGTTTGAAACACCTCATAGGAGATCTCACTAACTCAGTCTCAGTAAACAAACCTATTCCCTTGGTAAAATCTCTCAAGGAATTTAGCACTATTTTAAAATAACATAGCAGAACATACTAGGAAAAGAAAGAAAACGAGGGCTCACAGCCGCATCTGGTCCGAGTTTGTCCTTTGTTAAAATATTTGGTAGTAACTTACAAAAGCTACGTTCTGCTTAGTCAAGAGTTTTGGCCTGATGGCTCATTCAAATGGTAAATTCAGGATTATTACGAAATATTAACAAAGAGGAAAACTGAAACATGCTGCACTGGACTAGCACGTGAATGAATGTGGACAAACTCCAGTGCAATAGCCACACACTAACTGCATGTATTTACATTTTTTTTCCAATCTACGTCTGCATGGTTCTACTTTACAGACTGATGTGTTCACCTGACGTTTGCAGCATGGGAACCTTCAAAATTTCAATTAAAAACTAAAGACAAAAGCCTACTAGAACTTAATTACTGGGTTTCTAGAGAATACTAATAAAAATTTCAGTGAAGGGGAAATTGTTCTGGTTCAGTCAAACTAGGTAAAGCAAAAGGTCATTAAACTAGTACTGAGTTTTTCAGTGAACTTGATCCCGTTATTCTTCATTAACCAGTGCTACGGTGTAGAGAGTCAACACCACCTCTGCAGCTTCAGCATTAGTATATCGCACTCCTAGCTCTAGCTTTATAGCAGAGGAAAACGCGTTTTGGAGGAAAAAAACAACTACCCTCCACATCATAGTAGGACATGCTAGTACAAGAAACTACGTATCAAAAACATCCTTAACTGAAACTAGTATTTCAGTGAAAGGGATGACCAGTCAGCATTAATATTAAATTCAGAAACAAAATATGAATACATATACAGAACTCGCTAAAGCCTATTATTAAATCATGTGGGTGTATATGTATTACACAGACTACGGCATAAGTATCTGAACCAATGTTGTTTGTGGTCATCTACTTTTAAAACTCACAAGTCACACGGATTGCTAGCTATGAGCCAATTATTTTAATACTATTATGAGAAAAATAGAGATTAATTAGAAGGAATCTGAACGGCCATTAAAACAACTCAAACAAGTTGTTTCCCGCAGTAATTTGGGCATCAAGGGAATATTTGAAAAGTTACTCTTCTTATCAAGTTTTAGAGAGCTCACCAGTTACAAAAAATACCCCTCCAAGAATCCCAGTAAAACAGGAGCCTGAAATCCCTCTCTCACGCGCAGACTCCGCTCCGAGGGAGAACAGCATCGAGAGGGTGGAACACCGAATTCAGCACGCCGAGTCAGAACTTCGCCTTTCTTCCACCTCTCCCGAAGCCCAAAGAGGAACCAAGGCAGCTCTAACACTTTCGTATTATGTATAAATCACGGAACACGTTCTCTCATTTTCATCACAGTAGGTACAATTAAAAAGCTCACCGACAATGCAAACGTGCTGGTTAGGGAAGTTAGGTCTAACAATGAATTTCACTCTTAATAAAATTACACACTATTACAAAATGCACGCCCTGGTAAACACTCCTCTCACCAGCGTAGCATCAAGCACTGAATAATAAACAACTGCGTGAATTTAGAAGAGTGCTGTTGGAAACCTGCATATTCATCCTGCATGTGTTCAACGGGAAACTGTTGGAAGAAATACTGTTGACACAAATTCTAGTTGACTAAAAAGGTTTAAAATCTCAATCACAGGTTGAATAAAGCCCTTTCTTAAACAAAGCTTCAAACACTCAAGGACAAGACAATGTAAAGTTAAATTATTTCTACTGACTGAAGAGAGCAGCCTATTTTTATCTCCCCTATCGGATCTTCATCATTTCCAACAACAGTTAAAGTAAATTCTCTACTGGTCTATATGGCTCGTCTCATCCAAAGAACCAGTCCATTCAAATCCTTCAAGTGACTAAAGTATAAAACAAAATGAATGCATCTATCCATTGTTGTAAAACTGGTTTGCTATTTTATGTTAAGCCTCTGAAATACTGAAATAATATAAGCATAAAACATATCCTTATATAGAAATAGCGATTAAGTGGTTTTCCCTCCAAGTGATGAACCGTTCTAAAAGCAACATTTTGGTTATCACGACCAGAAAGCAATTACTTATTTCACTAGATGTTACTAAGAATAGTGGTGATCAAAGTGAATGTAGGAGTGCTGTTAAAGACACTAAAGAAAGCAATGCTCCATATGATAGATAGGCACAAAACAGACATAATTTTAAGCCAAATTACATTTTCAGTAAATATACGCATCATCCGCTGTTTGGGATTTTTTTTCTTAATCCATGAAATTAAGATCTATGAAACAGATCTTTTAAAATCTGTTTTTAAATAGAGCATGGTGTGTGTACCGGTTCCTATCTGTATGCATGTATGTGCGAGTGAGAGAGAGCATGCATGACAGAGGGAGGGTGTGTTGTGTGTGTTGTGAGAGAATGTATATATGTGTTCGAGTCTGCCAAGGTAGAACTGACAGGAACTGTGATTTGTGCTAACTAGCTATTGATCCAGTCAGATCTAGATGTTGTGTACAAGAAACAATAAAAGAGAAGGGGCCAGGAAGGATGCTGTGTGCAACTCCATTTAAAAATGGAAAAGAAGGGCCCCAAACAAACCAATTTATGTCCTTGCCTGGGTGAAGCATGGAGAATGCTGATGGGCTTCCTAGAGTCTGCTGTGCATGCTAAACACTCCCGCTTCAAATGAGAGTCTCCTGAGCTGGGCATTAAACATGAACAAAGAGACAAACAGTGGGGGCTAGGATTCACGCTTCAGAAAGCCAAAGCTGGAAAGCCAACCAGAACTGGGGGTAGGCAATTGCCGAGTTTTCAAACCTCCTCAGCTCCTCTTTGATTTTCCTAACACCTTCCTTAGCTAAATTACTAAACTCAGAGCGCTATAAAAAGCCACTCTTTAAGAACAGATGTGACAAAAACAATTTTGAACTACACTAATGGTAGCAAAACGTCAGGTTTCCAAGACACAAATAATGAGTTTATACTGTGTAAAATATGCATGTGTACTTAATAGTATATCAAAAAATTGCCTGTGTGCGTGCATACAGTATGTACATGCACGTGCATCTATTGTAATATTCACACACACAAGCAGACAGCTAAGAAAATATGGCTTTGATAAGATAAAATGGAAACCGACTGAATCTACAATCATCTTTATGTTAAACAGCTTTTATAATAGAGTGTTTTCTATTAAAATATTTTTTTCCTAAGCTTAGAGAATTATGATGCTCTCTGGATACAGAGGAGGATCAAAACCGAAAACTAATGTTGAAATTAAACATCTGTCAACTAAGCAAGTTTTATACTGGCAGACCTGGAACCTGATTTTAAATTTCCTTTCCATTAAAGAAAAAATGGTAAGAGCCTTTTAGTTCAGTATCACACCACTGCTAGTGTTTTAACATACACAGGAAAATACCTGAAATCAGAGGAACTACATTACTGATATGCTTTCGAGGTTAAGGGAGATCTATGTAAGAGTTTGGGGGAAAACACTGTGAGGCACAGCAGGCCATAGCTCTGCGGGAGCCCCTCTCCCCTGCTCCCCACATCCCTCTGCCCTGCCCGGCTAGGGCTCTGCGAGAGACCCTCTCCCGGCACCCCACATCCATCTGCCCGTCGGGGCTCTGCAGGAGCCCCTCTCCTCTCCCGGCACCCCACAACCATCTGCCCATCAGGGCTTTGCAGGAGCCCCTCTCCTCTCCCAGCACCTCACATTGAGCCACTTGTTGGGGCTCTGCAGGAGCCCCTCTCCTCTCCCTGCATCCCACATCTATCCACCTTGCCCATCAGGGCTTTGCAGGAGCCCCTCTCCTCTCCTGGCACCCCACATCTATCTGCCCAACAAGGCTTTGCAGGAGCCCCTCTCCTCTCCCTGCACCCTGCATCTATCCGCCCATTGGGCTCTGTGGGAGCCCCTCTCTTCTCCCAGCACCCCACATCCATCTGCCTGCCGGGGCTCTGTGGGAGCCCCTCTCTTCTCCCGACACTCCACCCGGCGGCGCGTCCGGC